CGCCCGCGCCCGGCGCGTGCTGGGACGCACGGAGGAGGGTCGGGGCCCCGGGCGGGAGGCGCCCGGTCGGCGTACGGGGCCCCGCGCCTTCTATAACGGCAGGGCACAGCGCATTCGTGGTGTATGAAGCGACTCCGGGGTGCAGTGCCTTGGCCTGGGCACCTGCCGTAACGCGATGCCCTTTGGCCCCTCTGAAGTCTGGGCGCCATTCAAGGGGCCTCGGAGCTTTTGAAACGCAACACGGGTTTTCTCTGGAAACAGATCTGCCGAGTTACGGCTCCCATGCGGTGACGAGGTTCGGGGCTTGGGGTGGGTGTGATTTTCGTTTGTGGTCGTTTCAGTGAAGAGCTGTAGTCAAGGCTAATGAGCGTGGGAATTGGGCTGAAGGTTGACATTTCTTCTTAAGCATTTGTGGAAATTTAGAGTAATAGGACTTTGCCATTTAAAAAAAAAAAAAAAAAAAAGATCTGTTACTATCAAGATGGAAGGTGGAGCTGGACTGAAGCCAGAGTAAGCTTATGCCTTGGTTTGGACGTTCTGGGGTTTCGAAGCCCACAGTTTCTGCAGGCTTGTTTTGGTTTTAGCAAAGCTTAGCGTGAATAAGCCATTGCCAGGGAAGAAAGGCAGATTGTTTCCCTTTTTCGGTTGTAAATGGGATAGTTTTCTTTTTCAATGAACGGAGTTGCGTAATTGGGGGGTGGGGAGACAGGATGCCACTGTGTGTAGACTGAAGAATGAATCCTAATCCGAAACCGACTCCAACCAGCTGAGTTTAAAGTACATCTCGCCGCTCGCTGCTCTCGCGCTCGCTGCTCTCGCCGCTCTCGTAGCTGTTCTCACTGTGCTTGTCTTTTATTTTCAAGGGTGGTCTATCATTTTTCTCTTAAATCATGTAACACCATCGTTAAAGTAATTTAAGCCACAATATGTTAAGTGTGTAGCAGATCCAAGAATGTGAGTCTGTGTGTGTGTGTGCGCGCGCGCGCTTGCTTTCGTGCGTGCGTGTGTGCTCAGGCTCTTTTCTCTCACATTTGACCATCGTCTGGCTGAAACTATTTTGCTGGTTCCTTGGTTTACCACATAGCCATCGGGGATTTCTGAAGCTGCGTTTTGCTCCCTGTGACGTTGGGTTATTAGTTGCTTTCATTCCAGAGACATGCTGTTAGATCGTGGCATGCCGAAATCCTCCAACGGAAAAGTCAGACCAACTGATCATTTAATTCGCCTCATCACTGAACTGTTAATTTCATGAATTTATGACCTGTATATGCATATATGTAATATATATCTATGCATATATGTCATAAGTTAGGCATTGCTGCTGCTTGTCCCCCCCTGCCCCACTTGACAGAGTGGCCGAATTACTCACTTCCTGACTTTTTGTATGTTTGTGTTTAACTCCTATCCCTGGAGGTTGTGCCACAGTAGTGGTCAGAAGTATTAGGTTGTTGGAAAGTTGGGAACGTCACGATGTCGTTTTCTATGTAAAATGCGTCATGACGTTCCCGGCGACCCAATGGACTACTGTGCTTGTACACTAAATCATAAAGTGTATTTTAAAATTTAAATGTGAAATGAGCATATTTCCTCTTTACTTAGAAGGCCTGTGTAAGCAACTCCAAAAGCAGTCATGAGGGGAAATCCTGTGTGCGTATGTGGAAATGTGTTTAAGCTCAGTAAAATTAAGCAGCTTTCTTGGCACAGTTGAATTGAGGGAAATAATAAGAAATGAATCTAGGGCATTGTTAATTGTTAGGTTTTTGTACATTCAGATCTTGGGAGGAAGTCGTTTTGTGCCTCTTTAGGTGAGTAGAAGTAATAGGCTTTAAAAATTTCTTTGTGACCATAAAGCTTTTGGCTTGAAAAGTTAAAAATGCGTCATTTATCCCCTGTGCCCCCCAAGGTTTTTCCAAAGTCAGAAATAATTACAGATCTATGAAAGTCAGGCAGGTGAATTTTGTCATCTTGTTTCATGGGTGGATAGGGCTAAAATTCAGAGAGGCTTAATTTGGGTTATCTGTTGGCTCTGGGGACCCCCAGCCACATTTCTAAGAGGTTGAATTTTTTGTGGAGCCTGGTGGAGTAAGGTATGAGGCAGCATAGAACCTTTATGTAGAGCTGGGCACTGGCAGGATAGCCATGGACCAGAGGAGTTGGAAAAGCTTTGCCTTCTGTCGCTTTGGACTTTATACATTAGATACAGCTATTTTTTTTTAAACTTAATAATATATTTTATTTACCCAATATATCCAAAATGTTATTATTTCAAACAGTCATTCTAAGAATTATAAATGAGGTATTTTCCATTTCTTTTGAAACTGTTTGAACTCTGGGGTGCATTAAAAAAAAAAAACAACTCGTTTAGAGCGTTATTACAGTTTGTGTCTGTGAAGAGATGTAACTGGGGTTTGTTGTTTCTTTTGAACAGCTGAGCCCCATATGGGGGTTGGCAGGCAGCAGAGAGGACCCTTTCAAGGTGTGCGAGTGAAGAACTCAGTGAAGGAGCTCTTGCTGCACATCCGAAGTCACAAACAGAAGGCTTCTGGCCAAGCTGTGGATGATTTTAAGGTGGCACCTATTTTCTGCTTTGGGTGGGGCAAGAGGGAGGTTAGTCGGTTGGGGTTGTTATTCTCTGCTGAGGTAGGTCCAGTAAGTGACTTGTAGACTTTGGTAGATGACAAAGTCTGCTCTATTCTTATCACTTAGTCCAGTGCCATGCACCTGTAGGTACACAAGAGAAATTTAATGAATAAATCAATGAAAGCAAGTTAGGGACAAGCAAATTAATAGGATTCTATTGAAATGGAGCATTTTGACCAGAAAGGGAAAAATCAAAAGGCTTTATTGATTTCACCTTGACTTGAGTTTAACTAAGGGGAAAGTGAAAATGGGGGAAGTTGCAAGATAAAATGAAAATTGAGATAGGAAATAAATATTGATAGATTCTATCAGAGACTTATAGTAAGCTGTAAAGGGTGGTAGAGATAAGTCTTTTTATTAATGTGTAATAAGTAGGAAAGCATTTTATATACACTAACTTGGAAACTTTATTTTTTTTTTTTATAGACTCAAGGTGTGAACATAGAGCCATTCACAGGTAAGAGTTACTTCCATTCATAACGTTAGGAGGTCCTTAGAGTAATATAATTTGGTGTGATTATGGGTAAAATTTGCAAAGTAAGATGGTCATTGATTCCATTTTCCTTCCTTGGGTAGAATTGAAGAACATAGCATTGTATAGTGGGAAAAGGAAAGGGCCCGATACATTGTCTGATGGACCAGCTTGCAAAAGGCCAGCTGTGTTGCAAACCCAATTTTTGGTAAGTGTCTCACCGTTTCCTCACTATTCAGAGGAATATCCTTTGGAAATTATTCCTGGAATAATTTTAGAAGGAAATGAGCGTGCAATTTACCTTTTCTTTTTTTCTTTCCAGACACCACCTCAAACACCAACGCCCGGGGAGAGCATGGAAGATGTTCATCACAGTGAACCTAAACAGGACAGCACTGCCGATCTGCTTCAGAACATTATAAACATTAAGAACGAATGCAGCCCAGTGTCCCTGAACACAGTCCAAGTTAGTTGGATGAGCCCTGTGATGGTCCCTCAGAGTTCCACCCGAGAGCAGTGTCAGAACTTCCATGGTGGGCAGGTCTTGTCTCCACCTCAGCAGTATCAGCCATGCGAAGTCAGCAGCTCCCCTCAGATGATGGACCAGCCTTCCATATACCAGTATTCTCCACAGAACCAGAACGTGCAGCAGCAGCAGCAGCAGCAGCAGCACTACAGCCACAACCCAGCTCTGGAATACAGTCCTTATTCCAGAACTTCCCAGTCCCCCAACTATGAACCAAACCTCTTTGATAGTCAAGAATCCCAGTTCTGCCCAAACCAAAGTTTTATATCCCTTCTAAGAAGTCCTGGGGAATCTGACCACGTTGCCGTTCCCATTCAGACTTCTCCCGCTGTCCAGCAGCAAAGTGAAGCTCACCTTCAGAACTTCAGTGTGATGCCAAACAGTGCTTGTGAGGCCATGGGGGGCCACGACACAGGTTCTGCCTCTTTAAATACCTCACTGCCATTCCAGAACATCATCAGAAGTCCAATGAATACCACACAGTTAGGCAAGTCATTTTTTCAGTGGCAAGTAGAGCAGGAGGAAAGCAAATTGGCAAATATTTCCCAAGACCAGTTTCTTTCCAAGGATGCAGATGGGGACACGTGAGTATCCTTTTTTCTGATGTACTTGATTTGGTCAGCCACACCTGTTGGGCCTAGTGAGCATAGGGTTTTTCTCTGTTATACAGGTTATAGCTTAGTGGTTGGCTGAGGTGGCTAGTGTAGGTGAAAACTTTGTGATAGCTTATATTTTACAAGAGTGTTCTCCTCCCATCCCCAACCCCCCAACCCCCACTTTTTTTTTTAAGGTTTTTGCCACAGAGCTTATGCACTCACTAGAGAGAGACAGTGACAGGGAAAGTGAGAAATCACTCCCTGGGGGGATGGTCATACTGCAATTCTTTCTCCATTCTCCTGGGATTTTGGGCACACATGCACCTGTGCCCAGCATGGTTTTCAAGCTACCAGGTCCAGGACTCAAAGTGCTGTAGGTCATATGGGAGTCCAGCACCTTAACCACCATGCCACCTGCTGGTCCCTCCCCATCTTTAAAACATTTTTGCTGAACAAATTATCTCTTAATAGGGGCCTGCAGTTGGCGCAGTGATTGGGATGCTGGACTCCCACATGGCCGACCACGGTTCAAGTCCCTGACCTGGTGGCTTGCTTTTTCACTTTCTCTTTCTCTCTCTCTCTCTCTGATCAAATTAATAATAATAAAAAATTAAATAAAATAAATAATTCTTTAAAAAGTTACCTCTTAATAAAATTAATAAAAATATATGTGTCTTCTTAGAATAATTGGTGTTAGAAGACCAGTATAAAGTGTCTGTAGATCAGAAACATAGATTATGATTAGACATGAACCAGGAGTTGATTTGTAGATTGTATTTTAACTTGTTCTGATGTCTTTGTGGACTTGGACAATTATTTAACGTCTCTGTGCCTCAGTTTCTCAACATGTACTATAGAATGATGACAGGGTTTTCACGAGTATTAAAAACAGATGTAAAACAATCAGCATGGTGCTGGGGATTGTCCTTGTTTCTGGTAGCCCTCACTCAGCCTGTTGCAACTTGCATATATTATCAGTATAGAAGAGACAGATTATGCTCTGTAATTTTTCAACTGAGTGTACCAATTTATCCAAAAGGGACCAAAAGAAGATTTTTTAAAAAAGATAAACTTAGTGGAATCAGAAGTAGTTTTACACTTCCTTTCCTCGTTCCTCAGGTTTCTCCATATTGCTGTTGCCCAAGGGAGAAGGGCACTGTCCTATGTCCTTGCAAGGAAGATGAACGCGCTGCACATGCTGGATATTAAAGAGCACAATGGACAGGTGAGGGTCTCAGCAGAGACTGAAATGGCAAAGGTGTGGTCATGTGAAGTGAATCACGACCAGGTCCATGTGGAGATAGTTTCAGAGCTCCAGATAAAGAGGGGTTAGTTAATATTAACTTTGAGATGTTGACTTTTTGCCACCATCAGCCTTGAAGTTATTAACGTTAACTTTGTAGTTATTTGACTAAAGGCTAACCGGGTGTAATAAAGCCGCACCCAAAGCTTATTTTAGTTTCCTTGTCTTACAGTATCTGATTGCTTATTAATAGGACGTATTTTCTCTACATGGGTTTTCCCCCAGTCACAGTTTAGTTTCATTTTCCTTGTTATTGGTAGTGTTAGGTGTTTTTAAAAATATATTTTTTTCCTCTTAATGTCTACAGAGTGCCTTTCAGGTGGCAGTGGCTGCCAATCAGCATCTCATCGTGCAGGATCTGGTGAACCTTGGGGCCCAGGTGAACACCACAGACTGCTGGGGACGGACACCTCTGCACGTATGTGCTGAGAAGGGCCACTCCCAGGTGCTTCAGGTAAGAGGCATTGGTGAGCCGGGCTGCCATCATCGAGGGGCCAAACAGATAAGGTGTGGCTATTAGAAGTTGGATATAGATTGCCCATCAGCCTTGAAGTTATTAATGTTAACTTTATAATAATCTATTTCAGTTGACTTATTCATTTCTCGGGATATTAAGAGATAAGTATTTGTGTAGATTATCTCTTGCTAACAGATGTCTTTTATAAAATTTTGCAGGCAATTCAGAAGGGAGCAATGAGGAGCAATCAGTTTCTGGATCTTGAGGCCACTAACTATGATGGTAAGCAACCGAACATTATTAGATGAAGAGCCATTTAAAGAGTGAGGCCAAGAAGTTCTAAGGGTATTAAGTATCATACTAAGAAAGGAGATGGTTAAAGCTAAAATACTTTGTAGAGTAATAGTCTATACTGTAGATAGATTAAATTAGCCCTGAGGTCCAATGGAGGGAAAGTTCAGGTTGCCTTATTAGTTCTTGTGAAACCCATTTATAGGTAAAGTTAGAGGCCACCCTAAAGAGGCAACCAAAAGACCTGATGGGATGCTGGACCCCTGCTTTATTACACTTTTTCCCTAGGCCTGACTCCTCTTCACTGTGCAGTCATGGCTCACAATGCTGTGGTACATGAACTCCAGACGAATCAACAGCCTCATTCACCTGAAGTCCAGGACCTTTTACTGAAGAATAAGAGTCTGGTTGACACAATTAAGTGTCTGATTCAAATGGGAGCAGCCGTGGAAGCGAAGGTAAAATCATGACGTTCTGAGACAGTATAGGGAGAAACAGGGTGATAGCAGAAACCTTGCTTTGTACTACAGATTAAAGCTTCTTTTTTTAGTGAGTGCAGTAAGTAACAATGTATGGATGGTTAAGCTTAGATTTTTTTTGTTTTTTTGAAGGGGTTTTTGCTGTAAGGTGCACATGCTCACCAGAAAGACAGAGACAGAGAAACAGAAAGCAAGAAATCACTCCCCAGGGGGGATGGCCATGTCGCAATCCCTTCTCCTCTATTCTCCTCTTGGGATCTTGGGCACGCACGCACATGTGCCCAGCGTGAGTTTAAGCCACCAGGTCTGGGACTCGAACCGCAGTCCACTACGTGGGAGTCCAGCGATGTAGCCATTATGCTAACTGCTGGTCCTGTTAAGCTTAGATTTTTGAAAGATCATTTCATCTGCTTTCTTGATTTGCTTTTAATCTTTGGATTATCATCCAAAAGATCATTCAGCTTTGAAATATTAGTCTTTGAAAGAAAAGAAAATGCTTGAAATTGATTCCATTTTGGCTTCCATTTTCATACACTGATAATAAAGGTCATGCTTTTTGTAAGGGTTTCTTCATTGTTGTAGTATATGAGCTCAGTCTATTTTCCAGTTGGAAAATATATACTTTTTTCATTCAGGGTTTACTTACTGAGCATATCTTATGTGCAAGGCACTGGGTTAGGTACTTATGGGCAGAAAATGCCTAAATCATGAGCCACTTGGGCTTTTGGGGAGCATCCTGGCTAATAGAAGAGGTGAGAGATATAGCTAACTCTACAGGTGGCCACCAGGTCTGGCAATGCAGGTGATACATAGTAAATGGCTTATCAGTACACAATTAAAGTATTGAGCATGTTTCTACATTTTCTGCCTCCCTGTATACAAGGTAGACGATGTTAGGAAGCATTTAGGCCAATTAATAGGGAATTGAAAAGACATTCCATTTAGCTTGGGATTAAGGAAAGCTTTGTGGAGAAGGGGACATTCAGAGTGAGTCTCCAAGGCTGAGTCAGACATTTGAAAGACTAGTACAAAGTGTATTTCAGGACATGGTATCTAGATACTCATTTCCCCCCTTTTCCTTTATTAAGGATCGTAAAAGTGGTCGCACAGCCCTGCATTTGGCAGCTGAAGAAGCAAACTTGGAACTCATTCGCCTCTTTTTGGAGCTGCCCAGTTGCCTGTCTTTTGTGAATGCGAAGGTACCTTTAGAATGCTTCAACGCCACACCAGAGTTGGAGTAACCCTTTGTACCTTGCTCAGGCTTTTCGAGCTCCTTTTGAGAAAGTCCCTCTTCCTGAAGTGTGCTATTTCATGCCTTTGTCTGCAGGCTTACAATGGAAACACGGCCCTCCATGTTGCTGCCAGCCTGCAGTATCGGGTGACACAGTTGGACGCAGTCCGCCTGTTGATGAGGAAGGGAGCTGACCCGAGTACTCGGAACTTGGAGAATGAGCAGCCGGTGCATTTGGTTCCTGATGGCCCTGTGGGAGAGCAGGTGAGGGTCCCAGGCGGCACAGGAGATGCCGAGGCACTTGGGTCTGAAACCTGAAGGGAGGTGAGGTTGTGCGGGGCAAAGGCCAGCTGGTGCTCTGTGTATCATTGTCTCTCAGTGATCACTGTAGCACTTTGGGTTAATTGCCTTGTTTCCAAGGGAAGAGTAAGAAATTTGAAGGTTTATCCATGGACCCAAGATGGTCAGAGGTCAGGTAGTCTTTTTAAAAAACAATTTTTTTTGATAGATTCTTTTGGGCAAAATGAAAGTAATTGTAGCTTTGATAGATTATTACTTATATCATTACGAAATAAAATATAAGGAGTGAAGTTTAGCTCTTTCCTTAATTCCTAGCTATTATTATGCATATAAAATGATTATAACTTCTACTTATAGAGCTCTTTATAACTTAGACTCTCTTGATAGTTTCTAGAGTTCTTATTATATTCCATCATTTCATAGTTATGAAAATGTTGCACTATAAAGACTCAGCTGGCAAAAAATGGGGCTCAGAGAAATTCCCAGGATAGGAACTGTCGTTAGCTAGTAAATAGCAGAGTCCTCAGTTCAGTATTTGCTTCTGCTTCACTGTTTGTGGTGAATAGTCATGTAATGTTCTCGGGAATTATTGAGGAGTGGAGGGCCCTTGACTTTTCACTAACTTTTCTAACAAGTTAATAGGAGTGATACAGGATTTATAAGGAAGGAATGAAACTCTAAAAGAAATACAACACTTAGACCATAAAAAAATAAACCTCACAGGAACAAGGCATTGGCATAAGCAGTGGCCCAGTAGCCCCACATGGGAGGGTCCTGGGTTCACGTCCCAGGATCTCCCTGTGTGTGCTGAACACAAGAGACCGGGGGTGGGTGGATCACAGTGTGAACAGTGTTGTGGGTGCCTGTCTCTCTCTGTGTCTCATGGAATGAGTGAGTGAATGAATGAATAAACAAACTTAAAAAAAAAAAAAAGAATCTTCACAAATCGTATTTATTTTCTCTTCCAGATCCGACGTATCCTGAAGGGAAAGTCCATTCAGCAGAGAGCTCCACTGTATTAGCTCCATTGACTTGGAGCCTGGTCAGCAACACTCACTGTCAGTTAGGCAGTCCTAATATATCTGTACATAGACCATTTGCTCTGTATTGGCAAATGTAAGTTGTTTCTATGAAACAAATATATTTAGTTCACTATTATATAGTGGGTTACATTTAAAGAAAAGAGGAAAAATATCTAATTCCCTCAACAGATTTGCATATTTCATACCCAGGTATCTGGGATCTAGACATCGAAATTTGGTCTGAATGGTAAAATTGTCTTCTGTTAACAGTAGCTTTTGGGTAGGAAAAGACTTTTAGTATGTATTGCCAGTTTAAAGCAGGCACATTGTAAACATTTTTTAAAAAATGAAAGCATTTGAGAAGGAAATAGTAAATGTGGATAACGTGTCCAGGCTTTATTTGGCCTGATGCAGTATCTGGTAGTTGTTGGTGTTGGAAAGTCTCCAGTCGTTGGACTGGATGAAAAGTGTTTATGGTTGGAATTTGATTTTTGCAAACTGTGTATAATTGATATTTTTTTCTTTAATAATATTGAACATACTTGGTCATTAACATGGCCATATTTGGAACATGTAAATCAATAAAATAGAAACGAACAAGTGAATGGTCACTGTTTTTTAAAGGTATACACATTGTGAGTCGCTGTTGTTGTGTAATCACCCAACTAGTCTTTGTAGATAACACAGATGGGGAGTTCCCTTAGCGAATGAAAGAGCTGTTTCAATTGTAAATATGCTTTTTCTCAGGCACTAAAATGGACAGAATGTAGAGAACTTTATGCTCTTGAAGAGAACAACTCTCAATGTCTCTCAAAAAAAGCTTTCTAGAATTTGTAATTTACATGTTCTGTTGATATTTTTATTTTATCTTTATAGGAATAATAAAAATTCAATAGCAAAACATGACTCCTTGTTTTCTGTTGCCAAATAATGATAATGCACTATGACGTTTTGTATTACCATTCAGAAAAAGAAAGTTTTATTTTTTAGTGACATTACTTATAGCAACATAATTTTGCTTACCGCTGGCATGCCCTGAGGAACATGTTTAGCTGTGATTGCATACTAATTCTTTGTGATAAATTTGACTCATTGAAACTTTTTTATTTAAATGAGAAGACTTATAAGCATCAGACAAATGACTTACACTTTTTGTGGCTAAGTACTGTTTTTTTTAAAAATATCACTTTGAATTTGAATTGATCACATTGTTTGACCCAGTATGTCTTGTGGGCAAAAGTTTGTCACTTATCATCTGTAAATATGGTGTAATGCAAAGCAGTTCATTCACACTGGAAAAGCTCAGGCATGATTTTAAATAAACATTAATTCACTAGTATTATTTGTCCTAAGGATGTGCATTTTTTTTACTAGTCTTATTTATATTCCCATAGGTAGAAAAGTACTACTAGTGACTATTAAAAATACTTTTAAACTAATTTATTTTAATTGAGATGTTTTAGAGAATGTGTTTCCTGAAGGTGTACATGATTTTGTTTTTAATTTTAGCAGTTTTTTTTGGAGAGGTTTTTGCCACAGGGCGCGTGTGCTCGCCAGACAGACAGAGACAGAGAGACAGAAAGCAAGAAATCACCCCCCAGGGGGGATGGCCATGCCACAATCCCTTCTCCTCCAATCTCCTCTTGGGATCTTGGGCACGCATGCACACGCGCCAGGCGTGAGTTTTAAGCCACCAGATCCAGGACTCGAACCGTGGTCGACTACATGGGAGTCCAGCGACATAGCCAATTACACTAACTGCTGGTCCCTCATCTTAGCAGTTTTTAATAAGAACGGCATATAAGATTATTTTACTCCTGCATCTTCTCTATTGTTTCTTCCTTATATTTGTCCTTTTCCTTTCCTACTTGGTGAGACTTGACTTTCCATTCAAGGATCTTTTTGTGGTCTTTGTCCAGCTTTAGTCTGGTGGTAACCACCTTGCTGGGGTAAATCCCCACATGGACCGTTGTGCCATTAGCCTTCCCCGCTGCACCTGCTCAATATAGATGACATATTTCTTCCTGTGAACTTGGACCACTTTGCCAGTTTGCTGACCTTTATAGTGTCCTTGCACAACCTGAACTTCACCGTCCTTTTGTATGGGCGTAGATCGCACAGTGTACTTCTGCCTCAGCTCTTTGGGAAGTGGGGAAGACATAATCTTCCTGTGGATGTGGGAAGGTGCATTGAAATGCCTTTTATGGTTCTTGCTTCGGTCAGAAGTCATGAGAGGATTGAACTTCATTTTGGCCGCTGCTGCTCCGGCGATGGCCGCGAAAGCAAGGTACACATGATTTAACATTAAAAAAAACCCCAGTTAGATTCATTAGTAGTTTGTTAGGTCCTGGAAATATGGAAGTTGGTAGAGACTCATACAGAAGTTTGTGTGCTAAAAATGAAGACAGGGCAGTGGACATAGGAAGACCAATGGGTAGATCACTAGGATCATCCCAAGTGGGATGTGACCTGCCGACAGTAGGAAATGGGATTCTTTCCTTTCCCAGCATGCCATTTTCTCACACATGACGTGTGAGAACAAACACATCAACATCTCTGCAGTGCCAGCCATTATCAGTTACAGAACATATATTCTAGTTCTTAACTTACAGCCTCTTCTGAGAATCTGGTGAAAGCTGTGAATCCTTGCCCTGTAAAAATGCACATATTTATGTATAGACAAATGCCGAATATGCTATCAGGGGCTTCCCAGCCACTGAGGACCATGACCACAGGATAAGAATCTGCCTTAATTCCATTTCTGTACATCAAATACAATTTTTCCTTTTTCATATAAACAAGATCTTACATATACTTTGCAAATGCAAGCTGCTAACTAGAACAATAAAAATTCTATGCCTTCTCTGAACATAGTTGTAGACGAGTTTTTCCCAAGGTGAGCTTACATGTTCTCTCAATCGCAAGTTCCCTCCTAAGTAAGCAATCGAACCAGTTCTCAGTAAGCATGCTATGTGAGTGCGTGTAAAGATGTATGACATCGTGTGATGTACAATACAACACAAGAGGTACAGTAGGCCCCCTAATTCATGAGGAATATGTTCCAAGACCCCCAGTGATGGTGTCGAACTGGGTAGCACTGCACTCAAAAACACTGCTGGTTTGTTTGTTTGTTTGTGTGTTTTTTGTACATGCATATTTGTGATAAAGCTTAATTTATTCATTAGGCAAAGTAAGATAGTAACTAATAATGAAGTAGGACAATTGTAACAATACTCCAATAAAAGTTAAGTGAATGTGGCCACTCAAAATATCTCATTGTAATGTACTCAACCTATTTTCAGATCACTGTTGACCCCAGGTAACTAAAACCTTGAAAAGTGAAACTATGGATAAGAAGAAGACTAGGGCAGGGGACTACTGTATTTCTTAGCCTTAAGATGCTTATGTGAGACACAAGGCATATACTTATTAGATAGTATTAAATACTACTAAGTGCCATTTAAAAAGGAATAAACTTAGAGAAATTTAGAGACTCACAGAATTTATATATGACTGATGAGATTCAAGGTAGAGCATTTGAGCCCTAGCTTCAAAAGAGTTGATTTGGATTTCATAGAAAGGAAAGAGAGGAAACCAGCAGCTAGTGTAATGGCTATGTCGCTGGATTCCCACGTAGTCGACCGCGGTTCGTGTCCCGGACCTGGTGGCTTAAAACTCACGCCGGGCGCGTGTGCGTGCGTGCCCAAGATCCCGAGAGGAGAATGGAGGAGAAGGGATTGTGGCGTGACCATCCCCCCTGGGGGGTGATTTTTCGCTTTCTGTCTCTATGTCTCTCTCTCTCTTGTCTGGTGAGCGCACGCGCCCTACAGTGAAAATCTCTCCAAAAAAAAGGAAAGAGAAACAGGTGAAAGAAATGTAACAATAAGAACCAGAGCTTGTATTTTGTGGGAACAGCAGGTGATTTCAGTGTAGTTTTGGTAGACTCCGGGATGGCCAGTATGTTTCATTTTATGTTCCACTACTGACTGCTAGCATCTTCATGACTATTGTGTTGAGAGAGAACATCAGGCTGTCTAGGGCTCTGGCAGGAGAGAGTGCTGTAATGGATTAGTGATGTCTGCACAGGGGTGTGGGAATGGGTCTTGATGGAATACACCTTCCAGAATGAGCTCACAAGCCCTCAGTGCAGCTTCAGTGGCTGAAACCGGTAGGAACTCTTATAAAATACTGGTTATGGCATCAGCAGGTGGTATGGTGGTTAGGGGGCTGGACTCTCACATGGCTAACTGCAGTTGAAGTCCCCGATCCGGCAGCTTGTAAGACATGCCAGGTGCCTGAGAGGATAATAGAGGAGAAGGGATTGTGACTTGGCCATCCCCCTTGAGGGGTGATTTCTCATTTTCTCTCTGTCTCTCTCTCTCCAGTGAGGGCATTCACCTTATGGCAAAAACCTAACAACAGCAACAAAAAATACTGGTTAAATGAGTTAATGGATGTATTCTAATCCTTTTGAGGATTTTTTTTGGGGGGGAGGTGTGTTTTGAGTTGGAATGATACTATTTAATATTGATGAATTACTTACTAGCATAGTTGTGAACTTAACTCAGCCATATCATTCAACAATGACATTGATATGTTAATGAGAATGGGCAGAGCTGAATTCTCTTTAAAAAGCAGTTCCTTTTCGCAAAGCGCTAACTCTAGTACTACAGCTTTGTTTTCACTAAGGAATTCTCACACGAGTCAGAGACCAGATCTTCCAGCTCTATTTGTTAGTCAAACCAGTAACATTTAGTATTCTTTCAATATTTTTACTTAACCAGGAGTGAGAAGTTTCTCAAATTCCTCTGACATTTAATAAATGTCGATTTCTTAAACGTAGTGCCATTGATTTCCATTTTCTGGTAACATTAGTTGTTCTGTGTTGAATGTGACCACAAGGAGAAACCAGCTTTGGCCATTGGTTAAATTCTTGGTGCTTCTTCTGAGATCAGGTCTGGGTGCAAGATTTGAAATTAGTTATCATGTCCTGCGTTTCTGATTTTCTGCTGGTGCCCTGCATTAGTCCTTGGGAGAAAAGGAGGGACTTTTACGACTCTTGCTCTTCCTTAGAAACCTTGCACCTAGCACAGTATCCTGACCCAATGTAGTTCTTATATGTTGTTTTTTTTTTTTAATTGTCAGAAGCTTCTGTGTTTGAGGGAGAGAAACAGAGAAGGATTTCTCAGTGGACTATGATCACCTGCAACCGTTTCGCTCTATCTCTCCATCCTGTCAGGATTTTAGGCATCATGCACACATGCCCAGCATGTTTTTCAAGCTCTTGGGCCATGATTCAAACCATGATCAGTCATGTGGGATCTTGTACCTGATGCACTGTGCTTAACCACTGCTTTTAACCATCACACTAGGAACCTATCAGTAAATATTTTTTTAAATTGAATTTAAAGATTCTCTTTTAAATGTAATGTTTTGGGGCATATTTTATTTTTATTTATTTTCAAAAGAATTATTTAATTTGATTATTACTATTATTTTAAAATTTGTTATGGGACGTGCATACTTGTGAGAGAGCGACAGTGAGAGTGAGAGAGAGAAGGAAAGTGAGAAAGCAAGCTGTCAGGTCCAGGACTTGAATCATGGTCAGCCATGTGGGAGTCCAGTGCCTGAACCACCATGCTACTTGTTGGCCCCTGTTGCCATATTTTATATTTCAGAGTATAAACATTTCATCATTCACAAGGACTGTATGGTTTAATTGAGCTTTTTCTTTTTCTTCTACTAACCTCTCTTCC